GCTGTGGGAGAGAAGTCGAGATTTCGTGCGGAACATGTCCAGCAAGCTTGGCATGGCCAGGCAGAAGTCCGTCCTGCGCAAGGAGAACAGACTCAAATTCGGTGATCCCCCCAACTACAGCGGTTGGATGTAGAGGCAGACGAAGTTGACTTCGGCAAACAGCACGTCGGTGACAAAATAAGGTGGGATCAACGGGCGGGCACTGTTGAACGCGGCCGTCCTGAGTCTTTGATCCCATCCAAGACGTCGCTAAAGCTGACTAAGCTTCGCGCCCCAGGCCCAGGCCCCATCGCGGGGGCGGATTGGGCACCGATGGCCAAGAAACACTTGCCAGGGCGCAAGATCCTGCATCACACGGGCGGCGCCAGGGCTTACAAACTCGGAATGAACCGAAGGAAAAAGTTCGACGGCGTGGTGCGCGACGTCGTGCGCAGGCTGAAGAAGCAGGGGGCCGGCAGCAAACTCAAGGGACGTACGTTCAGCTCTTCTCTCACTGCGTCGAAGGGAACACTGTCCACGCGAAGGGGGGCGCGCGTATCATCGATCGCTGCTTGAGTTGTTTGCGGAAACACATCGGGGCTCGCTCTTCCCCCGCTTCAGGCGCCCGGAAGTACAGCGCCCGAGCTCGCGCTGCGCAGTGGCACTACTGGCGCGTCGGATCTGACCACTGGGAGAAAACAGGCGGCATGTTTCGGGCAATGGTGTGAGGCCTCTGCGTTCGTTTTCCGACAGCTTGTAGAGGCCTCGCGGACAGTCGCTAGCCAGACCGCAGACGAGTTTGAAGACAGACGTCACATCCTTGAGTACGGGATGGAAGTTCTCGGGGATCATGCACCTCTTTGCGTGCTGCCAGCGTTCGGTGTTCTCGAGCCAAACCAAGTAGAGTGATTTCTCCAATTGTCCGCTGAGGGCTGGTCAGATTGCTTGGTGGAGAAAAACACCACTCGCCTATGCGAGTGCAATCGCTGCTCGGCAACGGGGAAGAAGGACAGAGCGCTCGCTCGCAAGGGGGTTCCTGACATGGGCCCGTGGTGCCAACCGGATTTTCCCATGGGGGTTTTCGGTTGAGCTCCTTACGAAACGTGAAACGTAAGCGGGGTGTGCCGGAACCTGCTTGATAGCGCTGTGCATCTTCTCACATAAACGTTTTCGTCGCATTGTTTTTCAGATCGTGGCACAATAGTAATCCTCTTGTGAACCTGTACAAGAGAATTCATATTAAACGGCTTCAACTGGAATCCTCATGGAAGCTCTTCTTGTATCCCAGGCAATAAGAATCCCTTTGTAAACCGGTACAAAAAGAATCCTATTGAAAGCCGTCCAATTGGATTCCTCTTGGAAGCAGCATAAAGGGAATCCTTTTGTATCCCAAACAATCGGGATCCTTCTGCAAACCGGTACAATAGGACTCGTATTGACAGCCACCAAGATGATTCATTTTGGAGGCCGCATACAAGGAATTATGTTGTAGGGCATTACAAAAGGATTCCTAGTGTATCCCAGGCAATACGAATCCAATTATCGGCGAACCTGTCAGATACGCTGCCTGCAGGATATATATATATATATATATATATATATATAAACATACACGTTGACGTAGCAGAAATGCTGCATTTAAGATTACAAAGCTGTTGATCACTTGAGAACACGGACAATAAACAAAAACAAGCTGGAACCAAAGAAACCCTGTGTTTTCATAGTGTTTGCGCCTCCTCACATTGATTTCTATTGGTCAGCGCACAATAGAATCCTTGGGTGAGCCTGTACAAAAGGATGTCGATGGGACGGCCTTCATTTGGAATCCTCTTGAAAGCCTTTCAAAAGGATTCCTTTACAAGCGGATTCCTATTGCATCGCAGACAATAAGAATCCTTGTCTGAACCGGTACACAAGGAATTTCATTGAAAGCCATCCAATAGGATCCCTTTTGGAGGCAGCATACAAGGAATTATTTTGTAGGGCGTTACACAAGGATCCTTTTTGTACCCCAGGCAGTACGAATCCAATTATCGGCAAACCTGTCGGGACCGCTGCCGGCGGAAAACGAACAACACAAAAAAGACGATCTGGGGGAGCAGAAATGATCTGTTTCTAATTGTAAAGCTGTTTTTTTCACTTGAAACCTCCAAAAAAAACACAAGCTGGAACCAAGGAAACCCTGTGTTTTCAAAGTGTTTGCGCCTCCTCAAATTGACTTCTATTGGTCAGTGCGCAATAAGAATCCTTTGGTGAGCCTGTAGCTGAGGATTTCTATTGTACGGCCTTCAATTGGAATCCTCTTGAGAGCCTTTCAAAAGGATTCCTTGTGTTTGGCGCTATAAGAGGACTCCTATTGTATCACAGGCAATAAGAATCCTTGTCTAAACCGGTACAAGAGGAATCCTATTGAAAGCCATCCAATAATTTTCCTTTTGGAAGCAGCATACAAGGAATTCTTTTGTAGGGCATTACAAAAAATCGCATTGTATCCCAGGCGATAGGAATCCAATTACCGGCAAACCTGTCGAAGCCGCCGCCGACGGAACAAAGACAAACAAGACAAAAAACAAAAAGACTATCTGGGGGAGCAAAAACGATGTGTTTGTAAATGTAAAAACTGCTTTTTTTCAGTTCACAATAGGAACCCTTCATTGTGGGCCTGCACAAAAGGAATCCTTGTGTAGCGCCAAAGAGAAGGAATCCTGGAATTGAAAAGCTTCCACAAGGATTCTTATCGAAGGCCGTCCAATAGAAACCCTTTTTGTACAGGCTCACCCAAGGATTCCTATTGTGCGCTGACCAATAGAAATCAATTTGAGGAGGCGCAAACACTGTGAAAACAAAGGGTTTATTTGGTTCCAGCTTGCGTTTTTTGTTATTATTATTTTGTTTGGCTTTCAATTGAAAACCAACTTTAAACTTAAAAACACAGCATTTCTGCTCCCCCAGATTGTCTTTTGTGTCTTTTTTCCGTCGGCGGCGGTTCCGACAGGTTTGCCGATAATTGGATTCTTATCGCCTGGGATACAGCAGGAATCCTTTTGTCATGCCCGACAAAACGATTCCATTTACGCTGCCTCCAAAAAGAATCCTTTGTAGGAATCCTTTTGTACCGGTTTACGAAAAAGATTCCTAGTGTCTGGGATACGATAGGAATCCGTTTATAGCGCCAAACAACAGGAATCCTTTT